AAAAAAAAAGAGAAACCAAACCTCAAAAAGGGAACTGTTCTGAATCTCTAAAAATGTTTGATCCCAAATGCCTGTTTGAAATGTACTAACTTGTTCAGAATTGATAACAAGGAAATACCACAAAAATGTAATGAATAATTATCAAAGAGGGTAAAAGCTCAATAAACTTGTTTACAGTAACCTGAATGTTTCTAATACACAATATGATGAAAAACTGTCTGTTGTAACATCTGTGTAACATCCACAACATGAAAATGAGGAAGAAGAAATCTGCAAACTGCATACATGGCATTACTTACGAAATTTGTACTTGGAATCAGGCAGATGATGCTGGCCAAGAAATCACATGATTTAAACCCTGAAACACCTCCTAATATTTACTCAGAAATGCAGTAACCCCCCTAACCCTAACCCTATGCCTATGCCATAGGGCAGATGCCACAACTGTATATATTTTTCCCTGATTTTATCGTCCCTCTGTCCTTCTCTTGAGCAGATGCCCTATGGCTCATCCGGTTGCCTAACTCAGAACTCAGATGACACTTCAGTATTCAGAATCAACACATTTTGTACTTTTCTGCTTATTCAGTACATCGAACAAAATGTGTACGTTTGTTACATCGAATGAAATATATCTTTGCTCCTACAAAGATTAGCTTCAGCAAATTCACATACAGCTATACTTGTTGTTGAATTCTGTGTTATATTTCTATCATCACTTCCTCAGTGGAGGTGAGCCTCTGACATCTCATAACAATGGTCAGTTAGGCTCTGGTGTTTAAATGATGCTAGTCCTAACTACTAGCATGCTAGTTAGTACTAAGGGACCCAAAGTGTGCCAAAAAAATATCACCAGCATCTTCACACCATTACCAGCCTGGACTGTTGATACAAGGCAGCATGGATCCATATTTTCATAATGTTTACAGCAAACACTTACCCTAACATCTGAATGTTTTGGCAGAAATCGAGACTCTTTACACCAGAATATCAAATTGTAGCCTCAGTTTCATATTGTTCAGCTGACACTCAGTATGCCTCGTGTGAAAGATTAAGCATTATTTTACAGTTTGGGAATTTTAGGTCCCATTTTGGGTCTGTAAAAGTCTGGATACCCAATAACTTCTTAAACTCTTCATATTTTCCCCTTGGACACAACTTTGTGTAAATGAAGTGAATAGAACAGTTTGTAGTATTTAGTAATTAAATAAGGTAGGCAAAAATAAGAGTGTTTACCTTTCAGTGTTTACCGTTACTAAGGCAGTCAAGGCTTCATTGTTGTGTACATGCATGACCTGGTCAAAAAATATGAATCTCAGATTTGTTGTATAGCCATAGGTTCTGTGATGTAGAGGCATTAGGGGGGCATGTAGTGGCAAATAAATACTATTGCAGCGATTCTTTGCTACACATTTTCACCCAGGAAGCAAGAGTAAACAAAGATCAGGTATCGAATGTGACTACATCTCCAGTGTCAGTGTACTGCTCTGGCGTTTGCTTACATCAGTGTAGCAAGAAGAGAGGGCTCAGGCAACTGGAAGCAACGATATGCTGCAATGCTTGAGGCACATCAGAATAAGAAGAACCCAATTTGTATCACAAAAGATTTACTGGACAAAGAACTCAAATGTTTATGATTTCAGGTACTCTTGTGTGAAATGCACTACACACGTACACACACGCACAGGTCTTTGTCGCCAGATGCCACGTTTATTTATGGTTTCCTTTGTTATGACCGACCACAGTCTGACAGCTGTCGGTCTCAGCTGATTTCCACCTCACCTCCGCTCCTCTCCCGTCTCACTATAAAAGGGAAGGAGACCATCATCAGTCCAAAACGCCCTCAGCTGTTCCCACCTGCGTCTCCAGCACCGCCCCGTTGAGCTCACTGCACCACTCCTCCCCTGCAGCCGCGCCCGGGACCACACCTCCGCCACATCTTGATTTAGATATTTTTTATTTATTTTGCATGGTGCACTTTTATTTTTATAACAAATTTTCTAAGGGAAAAATAATATAAGGTGATAAAGTACCGTTACAGAAGCAGTGGATTTTCTTTCAAATGTTTTAGGTCAAATAAATCTAAATGAAGTAGTAATGCTGTAATACAGCAGCATTATATTATGTAATGTTATAATGAATTAAGCACATTACATTACAAACAATTACTTCATCTGCATATATTATGATACCGTCCTTCTCACTATCCTATCAAAGTTCACAATTAGTGAATACGACTAGTTTGTATCTGAACACTGGGACAATTAATCTCACGCATGATGTTGTATAAAATTAAAGGATTTTATTGGCCTGAAAAAGTCACATAGGATTCAACACATTAATATGACAACAAATTTAAAGCATTTTGCTTCAGCAGTGACATAGGCCCTCAACACACAGCCGAACTGTTTGCATCCTATCCACAGACGACCTGCGTGCTGGCAGCAGTCGAGGTGGCGGGCTACTATTACTGCCTGATCTTCAGCTCACGATGCATCTGGCACCAAACGCATGGGTAACACCAACACACTTTACAGCAGTCATCACAGAACGAGCCCTGCAGGATGGAGGAGAAGAAGCAGAAAGAGAGGATGAAGCAGCAGGAGTTACGGGGTCTCTGCAGTATTTCAGCTTCTTCACCTTACAATATAAAGCACTTTCAGGCAACTGCTGTTGTGATTTGGCGCTATATAAAAACAAATATTATTGTGCTGTCGTGGTTGCCACTGTGTAAAAAGTGGGCAATACTACAGCATCAGGTACGGCACTGATTATTCTAAACTCAAACCAACATGACTAGTAACAGAAACATGCAGAGGAGGTTTTCCTGTGATTTCCAGACAGTAAATTTCACATCACAACATTCAACATCTGTTTTTACTAACAATAAAGACGTAAATGAATGACGGCAGTCTCTTTCTCCTTATCTGCTAAAAGCTCCACTATATTCACTAACTATCAGCTTTTTGATGCTGGCAGGAACCTGCTACAGCTAACTGTTAAAACAGGCTGACGTCAGCACTGAGAGTAACATGGACAGTAAAGCTGTGTCCTTTAAAAATGCTGTGTGGAGCTGGTTACCAAATATCTGAGAGTTTGTTCAAACAAGCAGCCGCAGGTTCCTTCCCACATTTTATGCAATGAAGTTCATTTTAGAACCACATCTGAAATACACACATTCAATAATAAAGTCCAATCTCAAGACTTTTACTATATTCTGAAAATATCATAACTTATTACTCCGAGCAGAAACCTCCAGGACTTTTAGGAAGTCTTAAAACTGCACCTCCTCCAGTGACCTCATCTATCTTTTAAATGTAGTTTGTAACTGTATCCTCCATCTCAAAGCAGTCTTACAACAATGTTGTGGCGCTCCCTGATGGACCCACGGAGTAAGCAGGACACCACACCACAAACATCCAGCAGTGGCAGTGCGCAGCACCATCCATGTTTACTGGCTGCATCACACTGCATGCAGGGGAAACACCAAAAGCCACAGCAACCTTTGAGGAGAAACATGTACAGAGTTATTATATATATAATGTCCACGTGTCATATATAATAACTATGTTTTAAATCACAATGCAAACAACATAGATTTTTACTAACGCTGCAGTTTCAATCTGTTTTGTAAAGACATGGAGAGTTCATTGTTTAGCACTTCTCCTTCTCCGTGCTGTCAGTTTGTCTGTTTCTTGCACATCTTCCTCTTCTCATGTCTACATCATGTTTTGCATGGCTCATTGTACATTATGAAAGTTTCAGTGGCTATTTCTTCATATTTTGACTGCATGATTTTGTTCCAGTTTCCAGTCAGTCAAATTGTCCTTTAATGCTCCTCTGTGCGAGTACCACTGAAGCAGGGCAGCATTTCTTCTTTTGCTTCTACCTACAGAAAGACCTCCACCACAGCATTTATGCCTCCGCATTTCATATGTGGCATTATGAATGTTAACGCTAGTAGATTTTACAAGAAGTTTCATGAATGTGATCATATCAAATAAAAAATCTTGTATCTTTTGTTTTATTGTCTTTGATTTTAAAAAGTCACTTTGGGGAAAAATGGATATGTTGTTTAAATCTTTTAATGTTCTTTTTTTTTTTTCAAACATTTTACCTGATTGTAAAAAAGGAAAGATCTTAAAACATACATACAGAGATATAATAATCCATTAAAAAAACATGTTGAAGAGCACAGTTATGTATGTCCCTGTGTGACACTGTGACATGAAGGTCTCCACTGAGTTTGATCTACTTTAAATTTTGCACTGGTGTACCATTGTGATGTTTTTGGTATCCTCCAGGGGGAGCTATTTCAGCTTTCCCCGAGTGAAACCACAAACAGACCAGATTAGGTCAGTTTTAACATCCTGTTCCCATTAAAGCAACTTAAACTTTGTTGCTCTATAATGCTACTACCTGGACATTCTGGTGAGAAAGTCTCACTGCTTCAAGAAATTCTTGAATATTTACTGTCTTTAGACTCTCTGCTAAATGATTGCAAAGAAAGTCTGAAGCAAAGTCTAAGGAGACGGTTGATGCACTAATCGCTGCTGTTTGCAGAAATAGCTCGGTTGACTTACAGGTCTCCATATCAACACAACATTCACAAAGGCCGGTGGTCCACTGTCCAGCACTGGCAGTTGTCATCACCTGGGTGGGCTGCTGTTGGACAGCCATGGCTGGAGGAGATAAATCGCAAATACAGATACAGATAACAGGATTTTTAGCTTCATGTAAATCACTATGAAGACCTCAGACCAGAGACACATTTTATTTATGTGCAGTACAGACAAAAAAGTTCACTGTGCAAGAAACTACTAAGAATGTACATATATATATATATATATATATACATAAAGGCCATGCATGTGTTCTTTGCATCTTTAAAACTGGTGTCTGATAAAGTCTGTGTGGTGTCTATGTTTATAACCTTATAATAACTGAATAAGCTGCCAATGAAATACAGATGTTAGTATATGTTTTATACTTTAAGAGTACAACTGAACAATAGATACGTCACTATGCAGAACTTAATGGCCACATGAGCATTTTGAGAAAACTGTGACTGTGATTTTGCACTATATAAATAAAACTAAATTTTGCAGTAATAAAACCTGCTGTAATTGTGCACATAGGTCTGAACTTTGATGCCAAAATTCAAATTCATGGCCGATCACTTCAGAAATAGC